AGGTGCCTCAAAACATGATATCAATAAAAGTCATTTTGGCACTGAGCAGGGTACATCCTGCTGAAAGACCAGTGATGTTTAAAGGAAAACTTCAAGGTACATGACCTCTACCCTGAAGCATGTGGTAATAATATGTTCCATCTAATATACTATGAGCCATATTCTGATCTTGCTATTTAAGGAATGTTGAAAGTGCCTTGGCACGGGCAAGATAAAAGAAAGAAAGAAATGCAAAACAGATGTGACAATGGAAATTTCAGTATAACCTCTATGGGACATTTATTGATTCCTAGGTCACATCACCCTCACGCAAATAACATCATCAGGAAATCCATAGATCATAGTTTGTTATATAAATAGAATGCATATACATTTGTTTTTTACTTTTATATTGATCATTTTATCCCTTTTGTCATTTCTTCTGGAGATTATTATTTTAAGGGGGACTGTTTCTCTTTTAGGTCTCATAATCACATCTTTCTTTCCCAATCTGCTGAACATTTTACTGTTCGGAATTTGTGCATTTAATGCTAACTGATTATATTAATATTATGTAGTCTTTTCGTGTGCACGTTATACTGCCTGGTGATTGAAATTCTCTTCTCCCCACTTTTCTTCTTTCTAAAGAAATTCATCAACTCTGTCCAAAGAAGAATTTACCTTTTGAGGAGTCTGAAAAAATTATGTTCTTAATTATGAGTATTTCTGAAAGATGTAATGACTTTTGGCTAGTTTGGTACATTGATTACTTCACGTGTGCTCCAGCATTGTTGAATAAGCTTTTAAGAAACTGAAATATCAGGGGCCGGCCCGGTGGCGCACTGGGTAGTGTGCCGCTTGGGAAGCGCGGCGGCGCTCCCGCCCGAGGGTTCGGATCCCACATACAGACCGGCTCCCGCTCACTGGCTGAGCGAGGCGCGGGAGCAACACCGAGGCTTGCGATCCCGTTGCCGGTCCCCGGTCCGGTACGGGGGCAACACTGAGGGTTGCGATCCGTTGCCGGACACGGAAAAAAGACAAAAGACAAAAAAAAAAAAAAAAAGAAACTGAAATATCAAATGAAAATGAAAAGACAACATAGCAAAACTTATGAGATGCAGCAAAAACCATGATCAGAAGAAATTTATAGTTCTAAATGCCTACATTAAAAAAGAAAACAAACTCTCAAATCAGTAACCTAACTTTATACCTTAAGATACTAGAAAAAGAAGAACAAACTAAACCAAAAGTCAGCAGAAGAAAGGAAGTAATAAAGATTAGAGTAGAAGTAAACAAAATAGAGGATAGAAGAAAATAGAATCAACAAAGTCCTAAGTTTTTTTGAAAAGATCACCAAATTGACAAGCCATTAGCTAGATTGGCTAAGAAAAAAAGAAAGCAGAGTTAGATTACTAAAATCACAAATGAAAATGGGGGACATTACTACCAACCTTCCAGAAATAAAAAAAAAGGATTATAATTGTGAACAATTGTATACTAACAAAGTAGACAATCTAGGTGAAATGGACAAATTCCTAGAAATACACACACTACCAAAACTGGCTCAAGAAGAAAGAGAAAATCTCAACAGAGCTAAAACAAGTAAAAAGATAGAATCGGTAATAAAAATATTTTCAGTATAAGAAAGTCCAGGACGAAATGGATGCTCTAGTGAATGCTACCAAATCATTTAAAGAAGAAATAATGCCAGTCCTTCTCAAACACTCCTTAACTCGTTCTTTGAAGCCAGCATTATCTTGATACCAAAGCCAGACAAAGGTATAATGGGAATAAGGAAACTACAAACCAATATTCTTTTTAAATACAGATGTAAAAATCCTCTACAAAATACTAGCAAACTGAATCCTGCAGCATGTTAAAAGGATTATACACCACAACCATGTGGATTTTATCCAAGGAATGCAAGGGCTGTTCAACAAAATGAAAATTGGTCAGTGTAGTTCACTACATTAATAGAGAGAAGGACAAACAAACAAACACATGATCATCTCAATTGATGGAGAAAAAGAATCTGACAAAATCCAGCACCCTTTCATGATAAAAACATTTAACAAGCTAGGAATGGAGGGAACTCCCTCAACTTGATAAAGGTCATTTATGAAAAACCCAAAGCTGATATCGTACTCTATGGTAATAGTGTGAAAGCCTTCCCCCTAAGATCAGGAACAAGATATGGTTGTCTCCTTTCATATTCAGCATTGTACTGGAAGTTCTAGCCAGGGCAATTAGCCCCCCCCCCCAAAAGGCATCCAAATTATAAAAGAAGTAAAACTATCCTCATTTGCAGATGATACAATCTTACACATAGAAAATCCTGAGGAATTCACAATAAAACTTTAGAGCTGAAAAATGAATTTAGTAAAGTTGTAGGATATAAAAGCAACACACAAAAATTAGTTATATTTCCATACACTAGCCTTCATAGTTTTAATTACACATAATTCTACTCTTGATTTATCAGCTAATAAACAAACCAATGGGCCGGCCCGGTGGCGCACTGCTACAGTGCGCCGCTTGGGAAGCACGGTGGTGCTCCTGCCGAGGGTTTGGATCCCACGTACAGACCGGTTCCCGCTCACTGGCTGAGCGAGGTGTGGGAGCAACACCAAGGGTTGCGATCCCGTTGCCGGTCCTGGTCCGGTACGGGCGCAACACTGAGGGTTGCGATCCGTTGCCGGACACGAAAAAAGACAAAAAGGAAAAAAAATAAAATAAAATAAACAAACCAAAATTAAAATTAAGAAAACAACTCCATTTACAATAGCACCAAAAGAATAAAATAAATAGGAATAGATGTAAACATGAGGTATAAGACTTGTACACTGGAAACTACAAAGCATTGCCAAAACAAATTAGAGAAGACCTAAATAAGTGGAAACACATTTGGTATTCATCAATTGGAAAACAAGAAATTGGAACTCCCTTACTTTGCTGGTAGGAATATAAAATGGTGCAGCTGCTGTGGAAAATAGTTTGGGAATTCCTCAAAAAGTTTAATATAGACTTACCACATGACCAGCAATTCTGCTGCTAGTTATATACCCAAAAGAATTGAAAACAGGTACACAAACAGATAATTGTACATGAATAATCACAGCACTATTCACAGAAGCCCAAAGCTGGAAACAACCACAGTGTCCACCAACAGATGAATAGATAAACAAATTGTGCTATATTCTTATAATGGGCTATTATTCAGCCCTAAAAAGCGATGAAGTACTGATACATGCTCCATCATGGATGAACCTCAAAAACGTTATGCTAAGTGAAAGAAGCTAGACACAAAGGTCACATATTGTATGACTCCATTTATATGAAATACCCAGAATAGATATATCCATAGAGACAGAAAGCAGATTGGTGGTTGCCAGGGGCTGGGATAGGGTGGAAGGGAGAGTGACTGTTTGATAGGTATAGGGTTTCTTTTGGGGGTGATAAAAATGTTCTGAGAATAGATTAGTGTGGTGATGGTTGTATAGTATTATGAATATACTAAATGCCACTGATTGAAAACTTTTAAATGGTTAATTTTATGTTATATGAATTTCGTTTCAATTTTTTTTTAAAGGTGAAACATCAAAAAATCATTTAAATGAGAATTTTTCTTGACTGTAAGAATGGTAGGAGGGACTGGACTACTATGGCTACTGTTTCACAAGTTCTGCTGATTCTTCCTGACCAGAGCTGTGGTTTATTTCTCAGCCCTCAGTGGCTAAAAGGACACCTAATAAGAGTAGGGTGATGGCAGTAAGGGGTATTAAGTATATGGTAAGAGCATAGTAAATGTACTAGAGGAATCACAGCTCTTTTCACTTGAGGGCATCCTCTCAAGTGTATTCAACACCCTTTTCCTTTCTGATCTTCTTTCCTTCTTCCATCTTTCTGGTCTCTGTGATCCCTTTTCATCTCAGCTTCTAGAAATCTCAAAGCCAAATTCTGCCAAACTAACTTCATTGCTTTATGTTAGAGTCACTGGGTTAGTAGGTTAGGGCTGGCGAATCTCTGGATTTCAGTGAAGCACTTGACAAAGTCTCATGATGTTAGTTTAGCATACCTCAGGGTTCTCTCTTTAGCCTTGTCATCCTGATGGGTTTCTTTAATCACATTTTTAATGTCTAGACATTAGAAAGGCTAGAAAATACATTGGTTGACAGACTCAAAAATGGAAAAAGATAGGAATGGGTGATCATTATGGACCAAATATAACAAGAATTTTATCAGAAATAAATGTTAAATCTTGTACTTGGGACCAAAAAGCACAGACTGAACAAGTACAGCATTGGAGGGCCATGATTTAACAGCAGCACATACAACAAAACGAAGAGCCACAGGATAGGATTCTTCTTAACCTCTCAATATAAGCTAACACAAATGGGTTGTTTAAATGTGGTGCTGAAAACTACGCCACACTGTCAAGCCACATCTGGAGCATTGTCCTCATTTTACCAGAAACTGACAAACTAAAAATAAATCCAGGGGAAATTGTCAGGGTTGTTGAGGAGGACACTGAAATCCATGTCATGAGACACAAGTGAAGAACACAGGAGTAACTAGTCTTAAAAATATTGGCAATCCTCAAAAAATGAAAGCTATTTTAAAAAGAAAAGGAAAAAAACAGAATCTCGACTGCCTTGTGTGGTCATGAAAGTGTTCAAACAATGAGTGGAGGACCATTTATCAAAAATATTCTTGATAATTGAAGGGTCAGACCACAGTCACTAAAGTGTCTTTCAACCTAAGTTCATGTGGATCTACATGATTACTAAAAGCAGGCAATGTGAGGATGGGGGGAAAAAAGAGAAAATATAGGCTGAAACCAGTGGTTTCATTGGATTCAAAAAGTACTTATTGGGTGCTTCCTACTATGTTCAAGGCATTGATGAAAGTATTGTTTCAGAATTGATGAAATTTTAGGTTTGGGTCAGTATCAACTGGGAAATAACTTGCATCCTTTGCCTTGTTTAATAGTCTAGTCTCCTGAGACAAGATCTAGGGCTTGGGAGCCCAGTACAGCTGTCTTCTTCAGGAAAACCTGGGACACCATACTATTCATTCTCTGCCACAAGTTCCAGAAGAAGACCACTCCATGACTCTGCAGCACTTGGTGAGTATATCACACAACAAATTCCATCCCACAAATGGTTCTTTCTTTCTTTTTTTCTCCCTCAGTCTGTACTTTGGGCTGTGCTTTTAATTATAAGACACTCATTGAACTTGTTAAGACAAGCGAACAGATATGATGTTGAATGAGTGGGGAGAGGGAGGCAGGAGGGGAGGATTTGGTAAAGGGACATGAAAATCAACTACATTGTATATTGATAAAATAAAATTAAATTAAAAAAAAGAAATTTGGTTTCTTGGTATGTTGATATCGGCTTATTTGCATCAAAATAATATATCTAATAGATATTTAATGAAATTATCAGAATTCTTACTTTTACCGATATGTAAGTTTTCTCTATTAAAGGTTTGGCCATGAGTAATTTTGGATAACTGTTTAATTTCTAAGCCATAACTTTAACAACTTCCGAACAACCAATTTAGTACTCTGTTTGGTCCACAATGTGAAGAACAAAATAGTGATAAACGGGACTTAACCACCTTTTCTTCTCATAAGTAAAATTTCATGTTCTGATATTTATGCCTTATTTTTGACTAAAACTGATATAATACTGAACAGTTTACAAAATGGTTTAATATACATTATCATCTCTTCAATACTACAGCCCTGCCAGTCAGTGGATATGATCCTAGATTAACATAAAAACCTGAAACTCGGGCCGGCCTGTGGCTCACTCGGTAGAGTGCGGTGCTGATAACACCAAGGCCACGGGTTCGGATCCCATATAGGGATGGCCGGTTCGCTCACTGGCTGAGCGTGGTGCTGACAACACCAAGTCGAGGGTTAAGATCCCCTTACCGGTCATCTTTAAAAAAAAAAAAAAAAAAAAAAAACCTGAAACTCAAAAGAGAACACATTCATATTATTACTAGGTAGTTTACCCAGGAAAAAATTTAAGATTTTCTCACTCCAAGTCCAGTGTTCTTTGCATATTAACTGCTTATACTCCTCACTTTTTAAAAGTTGAAGTAAAATTTACATAGCACAAAATTAACCATATTAAGGTGTACAATTGAGTGGCATACAGTACAATCACAGTGCTGTGCAGCTATCTCCCCTATCTAGTTCTAAAACATCACTTCAAAAGGAAACCCTGTATGTATTAAGCACTCAACCCCTATTTTTTTTTTTTTTTTTTTTGTCTTTTTTCGTGACCGGCAATGGATCGCAACCCTCAGTGTCGCGCCCGTACCGGACCGGGACCAGCCACGGGATCGCAACCCTCGGTGCTGCTCCCGCCCATCGCTCAGCCAGTGAGCGGCCGGGCTGTACGTGGGATCCGAACCCTCGGCGGGAGTGCCACCGCGCTTCCCAAGCGGCGCACTACAGCAGTGCGCCACCGGGCCGGCCCCTCAACCCCTATTTTTTTTTTTTTTTTTTGTCTTTTTTCGTGACCGGCAATAGATCGCAACCCTCAGTGTCGCGCCCGTACCGGACCGGGACCAGCCACGGGATCGCAACCCTCGGTGCTGCTCCCGCCCATCGCTCAGCCAGTGAGCGGCCGGGCTGTACGTGGGATCCGAACCCTCGGCGGGAGTGCCACCGCGCTTCCCAAGCGGCGCACTACAGCAGTGCGCCACCGGGCCGGCCCCTCAACCCCTATTTTTTATAGATTCCCTTTTTTATGTCTTATACATAGCCTAACCAGGCCTGTCTGTGGTTGCTTATAGCAAGCTTCAGGTATCCTCAGAAGCCTTAGCCAATCTGTGTTTAAATGTCAGAATTTTTGGTGATTGCTACCAAAAATTTTTTATACAAGAAAATTAAAGTTGTAAAGCATGTTTTATATTAAAGTAGGCCAATTTCTAAAATGAATATAGTCCACCAAAAGAAAGTATGTCATTGTTATTCATTTCACATATATTTGTTGACTGCCTCCACTTTATATATCTGCCTTCTGTTAAACCTACCTTTTGATAAAATATTTCTAGTCTCTGGGTCTAGGGTATGCATGAGGGTGTAAAAGGGCACAATGACGGATCATCACATTCCACATAGAGAATTCTGATTACATGGGCCCACTTCTTAGTAGGATGGATGATTTAGTATTTGTACTGTTAGAGTCAGTCCAGATAATTTAGACCAGTATACTTTTCATTAAAGAAGTGATAAATCGTAAAATGCATTTCTTGATCTCCACTCTTGATTTCTGCCTAATAAGTTAGTCAAAGTAGGAACATTCATTTCAGTCTAGATGTGTAAGTGTCACTCTAAAAAATATCTTGTTAGTATTCTACATGAGTACATACAAAGACAAAAAGCACTCGTCCAGACCAATATACTATTACTGAAAGTTTGGGGCAGGGTGGGATTAACTATTGGAATAACTAGGAAAGAGGGAGGTAGACTTAACATTCAAGTTTTCTATAAATTAAATTTTATATCTTCTTCATTTTCATTTTGTTTATGATGATAGATACTGTTGATTGTCTCCTCCCTGACAGGTACAGTGCTATATACACTTCATCTTTACAAATACTCTATTAAGTTGTAATGTTAACCTCATGTTGCAAATAAGGAACCAGACCCACAGAAGCTAAGTAACTTGGCCAAGGCTGAGTGGAAATATCGTCATTCTTTTACTGCCCAGGGAGGCCCCCCTATCTTCTGTGTAAATACCATGTAGTGTATTATTATTACATTCTTCATTGTTATTTCTCAGTCTTAACCACTCATTTTTAGCATGGCAGTTATTGATAAGATCTGAGTTTAAAAGGACATCAGAGAATGTCTGCCCAACCTCAGCATCTTCTCAAACTACTTAGATGCTTTAGGAAATATAATTCTGTACAACAGTATCTAATTATCCAATTTATATAAACATTTTAATATAAACCAAATAGTAATGGCTAAAATTTATTAGGTATCATGCTCTGTTAGGCAGTGCCCTGAGCACTGTTCATGTATTCATATATGTTAATATTTGAAATACACAGAAAGAGGTACTATCCCTTTTTCAGTTTCATGTGAGGTAACTGAAGCTCAAAGAGGTTAAGTAACCTGCCCTGGTTCACACAGCTGCTGTATGATGCAGCTGAAATTTGAATCCAGCCAGCTTACTCTTATTACATTTTTCAGCCTCCCAAAAGTGAAATGTGAATCCCAGGCTCATGATTTTAAATCAGATATGTTGTATGTAATTGTATGTAGTGGTAGCTAATGATGAGATATGAAAGAAAATTTTCTATTCACGTGGCAGGGAAAAACTGGCCTAAACTAAGAAGTGACATCTGCTAGTAACAACCACAGAATAGAGTGATAGGTCCCAAACTGATAGGAGCAGTTAATTCAGTTGACTCTCTCAGTACAGGTTGAGCATCCCTCATCTAAAACTCCAAAATGCTCCAAAATTCGGAACTTTTTGGGAGCCAACATGACACTCAAAGAAAATGCTCATTGGAGCATTTTGGATTTTCAGATTAGAGATGCTCGACCAGTATGTATATTCTGCAAATATTCCAAAATCCAAAAATATCCAAAACACTTTGGTCCCAAGCATTTCAGATAAGGGATATCCAACCCATATAAAGAGATAAAGAGTGTGACTTTGGTTCAAGGGATGCTGTATTGTTTGTGAGGACTTGGGCTCTAGAAAAAAGGCTCACAAAGAACAAAGATTTTTCCTTTAAGTTTTACAAATACAGAGTGTGCCAGATGTTGTTTATCTTTGGCACTTCTGTTTTAAGGAAGTATAGACTGCCTCTTGGGATAAGGGCATAGATGCTAATGAATGATTTTTCTCCTTTTTGTTGTGTAAAATTTTTTCACATGCTACTTATAAAGTTGTTTTTTTTAGCTTTGCAGCCTCCTGGGATAGTCACTGTAGAGAATTCCCAACCCAAATTTAAATGGGTTTCATTCTTTGTTAAACTGTATGTTTTATTATGTGGTATCATTTATGGCCCAGGAAAATACTGTGCTTGTTTAACTCTCATCTTCACAGTTTTCAAAATATTATACTTTACATCAGCCTTCTCATGTATTCTTGCTTCTTAATAGCAAACCCCTCTGAAAATCCTGAATTTGTTCCATTATTTGTATAAGGCTGGAAAGCTCTGCTTATCACTCTATTTTACAACAAAGAAGATGGATAAGTTTTAAATTTTGCAGATAAGTAAAATTAAAAAACCAAGTGAAGCCAGTTAGCGTATGAAAATACTCATGTTTTCATTTATATTGACAAATTATATCTTAGAATGGAATATACTGGAAATAAATATAAACATTCAAGGACAAATTGTACAATAATTAGTGCTGAAGTTGCAGTTTTAACCACACATTATTAAAAGAGCTGTTCTTAACTCAGATGACATTGTATATGTCAATACCCATATTTAACACTAGTTGAGAATCTCTAATCCAAAAATCCAAAATTTGAAATGCTCCAAAATCCAAGATTTCTTGAGCACCAATATGATGCTCAAAGGAAATGAACACTGGAGCATTTTGGATTTGGATTTTCGGATTGGGGTGCTCAAACCAGTATGCATAGTCATCTCTAGGTATCTGTGAGGAATTGGTTCCAGGACCCACCTCGAATACCAGAATAATCAAGGGATGCTCAAATCCCTAGTATAAAGTGGCACTGTATTTGCATATGATCTATGCGCAACCTCTTGTATACTTAATAATATCTGTTACTTCTAATACCTAGTACAATGTAAATGTTATGTAAAAGTTGTTATACTGTACTATTTAGGGAATAATGACAAGTAGAAAAGGTTTGTACATGTTCAGTACAGATGCAATTTTTTAGAATATTTTCAATCTGTAGTTGGTTAAATCCACAAGTGAGGAAACCACATATACAGAGGGCCAACTGTATTCTATAAACATTCCAAAATCCCCCCAAAAATTCAAAGTCTGAAACACTTCTGGTCTCAAGCATTTCAGATAAGTGATACTTATCCTATAGTTATGTAGTATATCTTGACGTTAGTATAATCTTAATTTTTTATTCCTTAAATTTTATTTCTAGGGCCGGCCCGGTGGCGCACTGCTACAGTGCGCTGCTTGGGAAGCGCGGTGGCGCTCCCGCCGAGGGTTCGGATCCCAGGTTCCCGCTCACTGGCTGAGCGAGGCGCGGGGGCAACACCAAGGGTTGCGATCCCGTTGCCGGTCCCGGTCCGGTACGGGCGCGACACTGAGGGTTGCCAGTCACGAAAAAAGACAAAAAGGAAAAAAAAATTTATTTCTAATATTTAACATAATAAATTGTAGCATAGCATTCATTTTTAGTTTTTTAAATATGCCTTTAAGCCTGATTTTCAATGTGATGCAGACACTAAATTGGTGTCTCTGTTAAGGAGTCATATATTTTATTTTTTTTGTCTTTTTTTTTTTTTTTCGTGACCGGCAACGGATCGCAACCCTCAGTATCACGCCCGGACCGGACCAGGACTGGCTACGGGATCGCAACCCTCGGTGTTGCCCCCGCTCCTCGATCAGCCAGTGAGCGGCCGGTCTGTATGTGGGATCCGAACCCTCGGCGGGAGCGCCGCCACGCTTCCCAAGCGGCACACTGTAGCAGTGCGCCACCGGGCCGGCCCAAGGAGTCATATTTTTAACATGACCTGTTGCACAAAGTGCCCCTCTGCAAATAAAATTGAGATAATGATGTAAATAAAGTGCCTAGTATTGCACCTGGCACATAATAGGTTCCTAGAAAATGTTAATTCCCTTCCCCCACACATGTTTACTGGTTTGTTTTCTTTCTTGTTTTGTTTCCTCTACTGTTATATTCCCAAACTTATGGGATATATATTTCAGAATGTGTCACTTTATTAGGAGAACTTGTTTTGCATTGGAACTGTTAAGAGGAATGAGGCTGCCTGCTTACTCCCAAATATTGGGAAAAAAGAAAATCACTAGGGGAAAAATTATTTGCTGTTCATTTGAAGTCTGATTTTTTTTTCTAATATAATATTCTGATGAAATATATTATTTTCCATGTGCAGATCCTTTGCAAGCAAAGAAAGTCAGAAAGGTGCCTCCTGGTTTGCCTTCTTCTGTAAGTACCCATCTTTTTTGACTTGGTAGTAAGCAAGCTGATTTCAGGTATCCGATATTTCCTTGCTAGAAGGGTAACTTTGATTGGTGCCAATGGCATACTTTACATAGTAACTGTTCACTGCTTAATGAAATCATTGATTGAGATAAATCCACATTTAATGTTTGGTTTTTAGTTTTCTCTGCAATGATTTGTATCTTACTCGTATGCTTTTATTCCATGTCCCTGTCATTTGAATTCCCCTCTTGGGAAGAGGACTTGGCCAGTAGCTGTCAAAGATGATCTCCTATACAGGTCTTTTGATGTTTAATTAGTCATTATGTTGCTGAACAGGAGGACAGACAGAGATTAATAGCTGAGAATCTTAGAAATTTACATTTGTAATAATCCCAGTGGAGCTAAAGACATTAAGATTCGGAGGACATGTTTGGCTCAGCTTGCCTCAGTAGGACTGAGGTTATTAATATGCATAAATCACCAAGTCAGATGTTCATTGTGAAGCCCTTGTGGATTTTAAAGCCTTCATTAAGCCTTTCCTAACTTGAGCCTAGCATCAGGAAAGCTTTCAAGCAACTAGTTTGTTGATCCCTCTTTGCTCAAAAAGGTATCCTTTGAGAATAAAGGGCTTTGATGAAGGAGGTTGGAAAGGTTTGGTGGAACAATCATTAATGGCCATGATAATCTAATACTGTAGGGGTGTTTGTGCTATTAAAGATACTTTATTCTTTAAAGGAGTAAAAGTATTTGTAAATGATCTTACATCATAAATCCACCTACAATTTAAAAATCCCTGGTGCAAAGAGGGAAACATTCTTATTCTCCCTTGTGCAAGGAAGGAAGATTTTTTTTTCCTTGTCCCTTTGCTTAGAACGAATGGGGAGTGAGGCTGCTGGATTTAGGCCCTGATGCCTTGTAGGGTACATCTCTTTGTTGTGTAAATGGATGTTGGGCTTTTATTTGGCAGTACTTAACACATGGGCGCAGGTGCTGCTGGATGAGTCACAGCTCGCCGAAGTATAGACTGAATGGAATATCTGGCTTGGCAAGTAGTAATCTAGAAGGAGCAGCATGGGTCTGAGCTTTTTATTTTTTATTAAGGCTAAAGTAGAGATATCATCGTTTTGGTCGTTTGCCTTCCTTCTTTACTGTGTTCTTCCCCTGCCTTCTCTTCCGTGTGATACATGAAAAGTCGAATTAGAAATCCTCTTTGAAACTCAGTTCCAGATGGATCTGAGTTTTATACAGCCTAAGGCAGCTGTGCTCTGAACCTGCAGCCTACCTGGAAGGTTGGATTGCAGCTGCAGGCATTCTTAAAAGCTTTTGCTTGCATAAGCAGTTGGGCCCACTAGAGGCTGAATAGCTGCTTGATAAACAAAATGAACACAATGCCTCAAATCATTATTCCCGAAGACAGGAATCTTTTCAGCAGCAGCTAAAAATAGTTGAGCAATTTACATTTTAACAGTTGTATACTATGCAGGGGTAGGTGGTTCAACAGTATAACAGAAGATTTCTTTTAGATTAACAGAAATCATATTAAAACTGACAGAACTGCTACAACATGTAACAGTGCAATTTTCTTGTAATTTATTACTATTCTGTGAGAGTAATAAAAGTTAAATTACATATTAATATTTAGTAAAACTACACAGGTTAAAAAAAGTAAATGAAAAATTCATTTTATTTCTTCTTGACATTAATTTTAAGAAACAATATGTATTCAGTGTTTCATAGCTCTTTCATTTTTAAAACAGAAGGGCAAAATGGACAGAACAGGCTAGAAAGAGAATAGACACTGGGGGTCACCAACGTTCCTTAACATTCCCAATCATAATAGCATTCACTACTTGGAGATAGTTCTCCGTATTGTCTCAGGCCTCTGGGATAAGCCATAGAGAAGGGAAAGCCACTGAATTCTGATGAAACTTTGATTTCTTTGAGAACCATTAGGAAATTTCTCAAGCCAAGCCTGCTTACATATTGTATTTTACTAGCTGCCTTAGTACACATTGAGTGTTATTAAGAACATATAAATAATAAATTCTTCTTAATTAATTGAAAGTATATTTAATATTAAATGCTATGTTGAAATCTCATGATTTTTAAAAAAGAAAAATAAAAAACTTTAAAAACAGATCTTTTGATAAATAATGGCAAAATAACTTCTGAGAACATGTATGATTATACTATTTACCTTCTCAGTATCCAAAACAAATGGGAATTTCAAGTTGTGGTTTTCTATTTGAATGTTTTTATTGAAAAATATGCAATTTATAGGCATTTGACTTGTGAATTGTAAAAAAAAGGGGAGGGGGTCATAAAAGTTAAAGTGGACTATGTGTATTTTATTTCATGATAGTTTGAATATCATACTTCCCAAACCAAACTAAATATTTGACAGTAACATTCAGATTTCAGTAGTTTGCTGCTTGTCCAATCTATCTTTAATTATCTGTAAAATATATTTTACCTTTACTAAAGAAACACCAAAAGAACTAGGTTAGTATCGTACTGCTAATATTGCTACAAAAACCAATAGGCAGGGTTACTTAACGTGCAAAGTACTGGTAATCTATATAATTTGACCATAGAGAATTGGTTAGAGGGCTCCCCCCCCCCCATAAGCCATGATATATATTTAGGTATCATAAGTACGAACCTTAGTTTCTCTTTTCCCCTCTGCAGAACAACAGAATGATAACTTCTCTTTGTGGATGAAGGTCCAGTTAGGATGTTGAACATCATTAGAGCAGTATGGTCAGTAAGGTTAAAGGAATGGTTTACCCAAATCTGCACAGCTCAGTTACTGATTGGTTATATGACCTTAGACTAATTAGTTAGCTCTTAAGAAGTTTGGGGCGGGAAATATGAAGTTCCTTTCAGGTCTAAAATGCTATGCACTTATGATTTTTAAATTGATATGCTCAATACATAACCAAAAAGCATACTGAGCAAAATTGTCTTCCTCCTGATGAAGAAATGGCATTTTTAAGCACAAGAAATTTTTCAGTTCTCTAAACAGGTTGAAATATTGGACAAAGTGGATTTTTCTCTCAACAACAGTAGAGCAATGCTTAGACATTCAGAATTCAGACATATACAAACACCATAATTGCTTTCAGGGAACTCATCATCTGGTATGAGAAACACACATGCAATGAATTAATCATATGGCAGTAAGGCAAGTAAAGATGTGTACGAAATGCTCTGGTAACATAGGGTAGGTAGAACCAACCATGCCTTGGGAAGTACTAATGGCTTTAGGAGGAGCTGATATTTAAGCTGTGTCTGGAAAGATGAGTAGCAGTCCATTTGTTAGAGAAGGGGAGAATGGACCAGACAGGTAAAATGTATGGAGATGTGAAAAAACAAACACGTGTTCAGGACACATATAGAAGAATAGCAATTACTAGATTCTGTACCTGATGCAACATTTGTAATTTTCCTATAGCAGACCCTCTCTCCCACCCTTGAGGATGCTGGGGGCAGGAGATATATAAGACCAGTCCAGATATGAAAAGGGATAAACTGTCACAGCAATCTACCCTGGATGAAGGGCTCATGTATCCTAGCAAATACACAATAGAAGGCCTTTGTAATTGTTAAGGTTATCTGGGAGTTTACAAAGGCATGGGTGGTACTTTGACTTTGCAGGGTGTTTTCCTTCCTTTATAGAGTTCCCGAACCTCCCCTACCCTTGTCTAACCACTAGCTATAGTCTTTGTTCTTTACATGTATACCAGCTGTTTTTCATCTATATCAGATTTTTACTAAGATATAAAGTTTAAGGGAATTTTGAAGCACTGGGTAGAGATTGGGGGCAGTTTCTTTTTCTCCTCTAGTAATTTGTGGGGGAGAAAATGGAAACATTTGCAGTATATTTGTTAGCATCCTTTATAGCCTCAATATCACTCTGTTAGAGGTATAGGACCTTAGTGCATGAGGAACTGTGTTAACCATTACCTGTGTCATTTTAATCTTTGCCACACAACTCTATAACATAACTAATATCCTCTACTTTCAAATGAGGAATTTGAGTTTCAGAGATATAAGTAATTTGCCCCAAATCACACATAAGGGCAAGTTTACAGTCTAATTTGATATCAAAGACCATTTTCTCTTTGAGTGTTAAATCACATTATATGTCTTGGTTTACTCATAAAATATCTTGTTTAGTATATTAAGTTTAAAACATGGTTTATTCTGTCAATTATTCTTTTACTGATCAAATTTATTTTTAGTTGGCTTGGTTGTTTAAGGACCCACCACCATCTGAAAGGGTGATGTAGTAGCAGAAAACACAGACTTCCCAGTCAGGCACAATAATGGGTTTTATTTAGTCTTACCTCAGCTTCCTTTTATTTTATAACCTTGGAGATGTTGCTTTTGAGTCTCAGACCCTCAAGTTTCTATTTGTAAAAGGAGATGATAATGCCTATCTTAAATGTTATTGTGAGGTTATTATGTACCTAACATGTACCTAATGCATCACAGTTACTCAGTAAACGTTCCTTTATTTTATCTAGTTCCTACCACTACAGCACAAAATTTAAAGAACCTTAGCATTTCATTTTTACCAAATTTTGTTGAAAAGCAAGGAAAAGTTTAAACATAAGAAAGATATGCTTGGCACACAGGGAATTCATGGTAAATTGTAGTTTCTGTTGTTGTAGAGAAAGCATTAATTTGCAGAAAAGGAACCTATAAAAGGAGGGAAAGCTTGTTGAATCAAATTCTGCTGCCTAGAATTCATTGTTATTATTTTTGTTTTCTGAACTCTCGGGAATCTATGCTTTTGCCCCCACCTTTATTTTTATCATTGATTGAACATCTTTATGGATCCATTGAAGCATTTCTTAGATTTCTTTGTTCTTTTTTATTTCCTAACTTGGTGTTAATATGTATTTCCATAATAGATCATTTTTCTAATATGCTGCAGAACATGCAGAATTCTGAAGTAAAAAGCAAGATTTTATTTATCACAAGAAGTCTTTCTCAGA